ATATTGGTAATTTCGTATGTAGTGGTACGCCCAAAAGCGCTTGAAGCTTGACGCATAGGTGTTCCGAGAGTCCAGGGTCTGGTATGCTTAACCTCAACATGATTTTAATTAAGCACGGAAAGAACTGAAAAATAAACACAGACAATGTCTCAACCTACATATCTTGATTTTCCATATTTCATTGTCTCATTCTAAAGTTTTCGACTGTGCCCAGTCTACATTACGAACATCAGTGTATGTGATCTTTGTTTCCACTCTTTTCGCTTCGATATATAGGTTTTAAAACAATACACGCTTCGCGAATGTACTCACCATCTAGAGCTCTCAGTACGACTAACCACTAGACCATTGCCTACTTCATGTTCTATCCTACATTCAGAACATTCACACGTAGTACACACCATAAATATCTCGGAGACTTCCCCAACCTCGCCTGTCATAGCCAGTAGCAGATTCCTGGGGGTATTCTTCGGTGTAAAATTACGTTCTGTGGACCACTTGCTTTGCATCTGCCGAATCGTTTCCAAGCTCACATCAGTAAACCTGCCTTCAGGTACCTCCTCCCAGACTTTTTGGGGTATATCCCTGCTAGTGATTCCAGTTGCATTGTCATTCTTTGTAGAATCACTGACCTTCGTGGCTGTATGCGTCGTAGCATCTTGCGAACTGGATTGCTGCATCTCAATTGCTATACTTGGTATAGATGTATGAATGTTTTGCCCTTAGATTGTTCGTATTTGGCGCCTGTCATTGCCAGATGTGTATGGATAGAGGATAGACTCTGAAAATATATTTTCATATCCCAGAGCTGCTGAAAACGCTAAAGTTAATCTCCTCAACCCTACATTTGGGCGGGATTTTTTTTCTTCCAAATCTGGTCAGCAGTGAGCAGTTCGCTCCATCTTGCCTTTGGTTCCCGTAATCCCGTTGGTTTTCATTCCGAAAAATATCGGTCCTATTTTGTTCTCGTTTCTCCCTCGTTGTGTAAATTTAAAAATATATGTAAATATGTATGAATTTATTTTTCCTCAAATGCTATATTTACACCACCATATTGGAAATGGGCTTGCGAAAAATGCCGAAATGACTTCAGCAAAATGACTCATAATGAGCGCTTCTAACATCCAATTTCCCACCATTTTCAAAAGGACAAAAAGCCGATATTTGGGATTTTGTCCGTATGTACCAATACGAAAACGGGGGGAAAGGTTTGTATGTAGTACATATGTACCAAACCTTCTTTTTTGCCCCCCCAATATGGGATAGAGCCTTGAAGGGCTCTTGGTAGAGCATATATTTAGGCCAACAAGAGAGAGAAGGGGAACGTGATTTGTGTGGCGGAGTTAGATAAATATATAAATACTTTTCGAATATGTTTCGGAAGCTTGCTCTGACCTCGGCAATGACCGGTATAAAGTATCCTTCGTTCTATGAGAGATGCATGCTTCACCAGATATAAACTATAATATGTATTTTTTTCAAAAGATATGTCACTTATAACTAACTTAGTAGTAGAAGACCTTGTAGCAATTAAACTGAACAGTAAACCTCTGGCAGATAAGTGCATACAAGATGAAGAGGGCCAGTGGTCCAACGGAACGTACCCCTATGGTGGAAAGGGAGTACGGATTGTTGTCCCGGAAGCTTAAATACTTACTGTACGAGAAAGAAATAATAGGGGCCGAGTTACGCGAGCAGAGAAGGAAGATCATACGTTTATCAAACGAAAAGGATTATATATTATCACGGTTGTCTCAAGCAGGGGACCTATCGGATTCGGGGAGTGAGGGCTTCAGCAGCGAAGCACCCCTTAATCAATATCTAAGTTCTAAGCCGGCGACTAAACCAGAACCAAAACCAGACCCACCGGTATGATCAAATCTTTCAACTTATATTGTTTCATATTGCTGTCACGTTACTATACTTACACGTATGCAC